AAGGGGCGGATGGGACTATTAAGGCCTGTCAGGGGGAAAGAGGCCCAGGAACAAGGATGGGGAGATGTACCTTTGCTGCGACTAGCTCGCCTGGGTGGTAAAAGGTATCCGTGCGGCTTGACGGCAACCTGAGGGGGGGGGGGGGGGACGAGGTCCTGGCTGTTATTGATCGACTCGATTCGTATATTCGCTCCCTCCCTGGTATGTAACCCACCGTTGACAAAGATGGCGGGCGGTGTTGACCTGTCCCGTGACAGCGGCGCGGATGTCCGAGATCGACCGGGTCGTTTTGTGGCAGCCGTGCGTCAATGAAGGTACCTAAGTAGGGCGCGCAAGAATGTGGGCGAAGGAAATGGGAAGTGGTGACAACAACGCGTTGGCGTTGGCGTCAAAGGTTCGAAACAAAGGGAGAATGATGGGAGACACAACATAGGTAAATAACTGCATGTATACATACAAGTGGCAACCTCACTTTTCCCGCCGTTTACTTCAACTCTCGGACCGAAGTCCCATCTCTACAATATTGATGTGAAGCTTCCTTACAGTTAGCTTTTCTCATCAGATCTCTAATCACTATTATGAAACCAACCATTGTACAGGGCATTACTGATCATTATTTTCTGGATGTATAGTACATAGCCAACAGATTTCACTGCTCGCTATGCAGAGTGGAGATGTGTGTTGTAAGTCTTTACAGCCGCAAGGCCCGGACCGCCCGCCCAGAAATCCGCTCCTGTCCCGCCCGTCCGGATCCCAACTGAGGCCCGTTCCATGCATGCTCCCCACCAGCACAAAAAGTAAAAGAAAAAAAAAAAGAGCAAAACCAAGCCGCCCGAACCGAGCCTCACGCACACGTAGTCGGGGCCCCCGGTTAAACTCTATCCGATAAACGCCCCCGTTGCCCGACCGATATCCCTCCCACCCATTTTGATATCCCGAGCGACATGCGAAATAGACACCAAGGAGATAAGGAGAAAAAAAAAGACTGCCCGACCATCCCCCATTTTTTTGCCTGCCCCGTCCCTCCCAGTGATATTTGATCCTTGACTTTATCTTTGGTTCCCCCCCAACTCGATTACCCCATCCCAATATACAGCCCAACCACCGCCAGTTTCGTGTCGCACAGGGGGTATCATCCAAAACAAAGCGGGCTAGGCTGAAACGTGGGAAAATAGACCAGACAAAAAGAACGCCAAGGAAATAGGAAATAAAAGAGAACGGTGACCGATGAGAGCTTAAGCAGCCTCGGCGGTGTGCGGGCCACCCAGCAACTCCAGCACCTTGTTGACCACGGCGCACGGGTACCCCCGGGTGAGCATCTCGCTAACAACAGCCTTGGCGGCCTCGCGGTCCTGGACGGACAGGAAAGCCCGGGTCATGGCCTCGTAGGTGCTCGGCTCACGCCTGGGGCGGCCGAGCGCGATGTAGATCTCCTCGGCCTTGCCGATGGCGTCTTCGGCGGCCCAGCCGTGGATGAGCGTGTTGGCGATGTAGGCCGTCAAGTTGATGTTCCTGGTGCGCATGTCGGCGAGCACGGGCTCGGTGCTCTTGACCTGGTGGTTGGCGACCATGGCCTCGAACAGGGCCTGGTAGAGGCAGGGGTGGGCGGGGACAAGGCGGTCCTTCATGACGGAGTCGAACACTTTGCGGGCGCCCTCCATGTCGTGGAGGATGCAGCCGCGGGCGTGGATCAGCGACGCGTAGTGGACCGCCTCGGGGTGTTGACCGGAAGCACGGATCATGTCGAGCACTGCCTCGGCGGCCTTCATGTCCACGGGTTCCAGGGTGGCGTGGGTGTCGACGAGGAGCTTGAAAGTGTGGGCGGTCGGGGCGATGCCCTTCGCGTTCATGCGCTCGTAGTACTCCAGGACCTTGGCCTTGTCCCGCTTGGTCGTCAGGAAGAACTGCATCATGCTGTTGTAGGGGGCGGGGCGCGCCTTGTAGTTGGGCATGGCCTCCATCTCGTCAAACAGCTCTTCGGCAAACTTCTCGTCGCTGACACGGCAGAGCGCGTTGACAATCGTGCCGTACGTGACCGAAGTCGGCTTGATGCCCAGCCCACGCATCTCAGCGAAGTAGAAGAGGCAGTCGTCAATCCGGCGTGCCTTGCCGAGTTTGCCGATCAACGCGTTGTACAGGAAAGAGGTTGGCTCGACACCTTCCGTCTTGGCACGGATGAAGATCTTAACAGCTTCGGAAGCCTCGTCGACCGTCTTGCCAGAATCTCGCAGGGTGGTGATGTAGAGACCGTAGGTGTTGGCCGAGGGCGTGGCGCCCATGGAGAGCAACTCTTGGTGGTAGTCTTCAGCCAGGGCTTTGTGGCCTTGGGTCAGGCAAGCACCGATCATGGCATCCAGAATCGATGACCAGCCGTAGCGAACCACGGGGTATTGCGGGAGCGGCGGAACATCGTTGCGGGCCATGGCCAAGATCTCCTGGCAAACATCAAACTTCTCCTCCTTGCCGGCGGCCGCGATCAGCTTCGCGTACACAATGTAGCGAGGATGTCGGCCGGCACGGCGCACGTTCCGGAAGCGGGAGAGCGCTTCATTCAACTTCGACTTGCGGCCAAATGCGCCCTCCAGCTCTTGGGTGATGAGGAAGGATGCTTTCGCGTCCGTGTTGTGAGCGTACGGGTCGAATGTGTTGTCCTCTTGGCGGGCAGCCGCGGGTGTCTGAGGATACGGTGATGCGGGGAACGATTGGGAAAGCTCAGGTGCGGCGACGGAGGCGGTCCGAGGGTCGGCGATGCCCCGGACGGCCATAAATCTTGAAATAAATTGGACGCCTTCCTCGATTTCGTCGGTGAGCTGCGAGTTGTGGTCGCGGATCCGTTGGAACATGAACTCGGCCTGGGTGAGGCCGTCGAGAACTTGGCCAGTGCCGATCATGGCAACCGCGTACATGGCCGTGGGCTCAATGAAGGACGAAGTCGGCTTGACCTGGGGATTGCAGAGAGCGTCCCAATACCGAGCAGCGGCAGCGACGTCGCCCTCACGAACGCTCATGGCAAGCAGAGCGGCGGCAGAGGAGGCAGCCGCAGCGGGGGCCAGGTTGGCGAAAGCAGCCACGGCAGTCTGCTTATCGCCACGGTCAGCTGCTACCGTTGCGAGGTCACCCATGGCCGAGCTCCTGGCTGAGCTCTCGATCTGCTGAGCCCAGTGAAGGGCTTCCACGTAAATTCCACGGTCGATGAAACCCTTAACAAAGCCACCAGCGATGATGGCGTCCTTGATATCGGCAGGCTTGGCATTGTACTCTTGTATAATCTTTTCGTAGAACTTCATAGCACCCTCGACCTTGTCCGAGACGATGTAGGCGTTGATGACAGCAGCGTAGACCTGCGCGTCGAGGCGGTCGTTCAGCGTTTGATCACCCTTGTCGTTCGCCATGGCCAGGTTGCGGTACTCGTTGTAGCACTCGACAGCGCTGACGAGGTCTCCGGAACTGGCAAACGCGGTGATCATGGCAGGAAAGGTGGCCGCAAAGGGGACGGTCTGGCTGGACTCCATGTGCTCAAAAAGCTTGAGCATGTCGGAAATCCGGCGGGCGTGGGCGCAGGCCGAGATCAATTGATGGTATGTTTCGGACGAGTACGACGCCTTGTTCGCCGTGACCGAGGACGTGAAAAGCTTCATGGCCAGGTCCAGGCGGTCATCCTCGACAAGCATGGCGTGTTCCAGCTCATGAGATGCGAACATGAACTTGCCAGGCTCGTCCATGCCACCGAAACGCAGCCGCTTGTCCTCGAGCGCCTGCTTGAGGGAGGCAATCTCGAGGGAGCGGGACGCGAGGAGGCCGACGAGGATGTCGTACGTGTCGCTGTCGGGGGAGACCTTGCGGCGCAACATGTCCGCGTAGACATCCAACGCCTTGGTCACAATCTCCCACTTCTCGAAGGGCAGGTGGATAGCGGCCATAAGCAAGGCATTGTAGGCCGACGGAATGGGGTGGACACCGCTGACCAGCATGGCCTCGAAGACGGCCGGGATCTCGACATATCGTCCAGTCCCAGAAAGCTTGGCGAGGTGGTCGGCATAGGTCTGGGACTGAGGGTCAACCGGAGGCGTGAGGGGGGTGCGAACCACGCTGCCAGGAGTCTGAAGGCCTGGAGACCGGGAGAGGCCAGTCCCGCCGACCCGAATTTCTTCGGCCCAGCTGCTCTGCCCAGGGCTGGTGAAGTTGCGCGAAGAGACTCGACCTTTTTCCTCCGAGCTCCTCCAACTCTCTCCGAGCCCTCGATCTCCCGTTCGATGGCGAGCATCAATGTGGGCCAGCGCTGCCTCGGCCTCGGGCGGGACGGCCGGGGTTGTCGAGACATCATCGTGGGGGGCAGATTCCTCGGCGCCCGAGGGCGAGGGTCTTGGCATCGGAGCCGACGAGAACGGAAGCTGTTGACGGCTTCCACTCGATGGGCTTCGGGAACTGAAACTGGACCCATTCCTGGTCGATTTCGGTGCCGTCCTCGGACTTTTGCAGCTGCTCGAAGTAGGCATCTAAGCCGCCATGGTTCCCGGCCTTGTCCGGGCGCTGCTCTAGCGAGCTAGCAGCCGGGAGGCTGGAAGAAGTGTGGAAGGCGGACTGGAGCCCGAGGCTAGAGAGACGGCCAACGCGGGCGACATTGCGCCGCCGCGCAAACGACGGCCGGTTCTGTGCGTTTAGAACATGAGGGTGAGTGGCAGCGACGACCGATTGGGCGTAGCCGTGGGTGAAAGACTTTGTAAATCCTTGTCGGATAAAGCTCTGGAAAACCGACGAGTAAACGGAGGGCATTTAGGAAACACCTGGGTGGAAGGGGTTCTAACCGGAGACGGTTTAGTTAGTGAATTGCTCTGACGTAGTCGTGAACGGTCGTCCGTCTGTCGTTCATGCCACACTCGCAAAGGAACGAGGCCATGACACAACACGCGACTCGAACACACTAAACTAAAATGGTGGAATTGGAGTGAGAACGGACGGTGTATGAGTCAAGACTTACAAGGGGAGATTGAATGATGCGCACTTGCAGGTTCATTTGACGACAAGGCCGTCAAACAAACGCGCTACCTGGAATGGTGATTGGAAAGTTTGGAGGTTTAGAAAAGTCAAGGCAAGGGGAGGGAGGATGGGAGTGTGGGAGTGTGGCTGTCAAATATGGACGGGGTTACGCAGCTCAATTGTTTCTGGGCCGGAGCTAAAACGGATTGGTGGGCGTGGATTTCGCGCGAAACTTTTCTCTGCCGTGGCGGGTGGACTCGGAAGCTCACTTTAGTCAGAGCGGCGTGCGCCCAGCAACACCAAACCGGGCAGCTCCATGTTGCTTCACACGCAAGGAGCCTTGTGGTTGCTTGGTTTTAACTAACACAGTTTCTTTGCTTTCCTTCAACGAGATGCCGGAAGGTTATCTCCCATTGGGTATTATCGTCCAGCCATGGACACACAATTCAAACGAAATCCGCACTTCAATGCTGTCTCTTTCTCCCTCTCTTCCCTCGCTCTCTTCTGTGCGGCGTCAGTCTCGATCGTACGAAGTAGCGGCCGACGTTATCTCCGTTGAATACCCCTCCAAAAGAACAGATGGCGGGCCAGGACAGGCCCTGGTCCGTTGAGAATGCGCGTCTTGCGACATTCATGCCTCAGCTGCTCCCCATATCAGCCTCGTGCCAACGACTTCCTTCCGCCTGGATTCCTTAGGATGACGAATGAAGCCCCCAGTGGCGGATGCCTCGGAGGCGGGCTGAGCGGGGCGTGCCCCGGGCCACGTCAAAAAACGAAGACAAACCGGACGCAAGGAGCGTCGGGGAGGATGGTGTGGGGTCGGCAATGCAATTCCCACCTGGGGCAACCGGGGTTTGCCAGTGCCCGTGCTGCTCGTTTGTTAGCGCTGCAGCCCTCTACCGTGTGCATTAAAGTCCCTCCAACGGCCAAAAATCCTTATAAAAATACCCGGCCAAGTCACGGATTTTACGTCCAGCTAACAGACCGAGGGCTCGGAGCTCGCACTTGCTAAACCCCGACCGCAAATTGCGGAGCAAATCAACCCGTCACCAGCGGGCTGGGAACTGGTGCCTGTCACACTGAATCAACAGGGTTCACGCCTGGGAAATGAGAAAATTCTCGAACACCAAAGCAAGAAAAGGAAGCACAACGAAACTGCCCATTCCCACCCGTTTGAGCCCTCGGTCGACTTTTTGGAGGTGGAGCATAGCTATCCCCGATTGAGCATGAGGGCTTCGGATTGCAGACTGCAGACGACTGACAGGATGCAATACTGCACTATGTATGCATATTTATGTATGTAGGTTTCAGCAAGAGAACAGTGTGTGTTGTCCTTGTAGCGAGGCGGTCAATTGCCCTTTGTTGTTTTTCATCTCTCCAAAATTTAAAAAATTGTGTCATGCAGATGACCTCGATTTCCGTGAAGAAGGCTTGGCTGCGCCGCGACTTAATTATCAGATCGCCGGCCAGAAGAGGAAAGGATGGTGGGGTGCCTGAGAAACGGTCACATGTGCCTGAGCCGACGAGAATTTACCGTGACGAGCCCGTTTAAAAGTCGCGGCCGGGCTTACCAAAACATCCACCGGGCCCGGCGCCGTGAGCAGCCATGGATATAAGGATCGGACCCGACATGCCGACCCACATCCCCAGCCCGTTCCCTCGGTCGATCGCTGACTGACCGGCTCTGCCCGCCAGGTAAGCTACCACTCAAGCATGACGTTAAGGAAGACCTCGACTCGTCTCGAGGCTGAACACATGCGATGGTTCCACTTCCACTGCGGCCACCCGTCTTTGTAGATTTAGCTCGACGAGTATCCATCGGTCGATAGAGCCCGGAGAGCAGGCTTTCGCTCTTTTTTCCTGTCTTCTTAACCATGACTCAACAGCACATAAAACCCGAGGGCAACAGCGGGCGCATGGCGAATGCTCTCGTTGCATCTTCAAGTTCCGCTGAGTAAGTGGGCGGCGCATACTGTGTAGTTATACAAAGTCTATCAGTGCAGACCCCATTTCAGCCCGTTCAGCTCTCTGCCTCATGTAAAAATGGATCAAAGTTGTCATCGCGGCGTCTGAGAGCCCCGCATTTCCACAAGTCCCCGCCCCGCAAGCGGTCAATTTACCCCTCGCTCAGGGTCAAGAGAAGCTTCATGGCGCAAATCCGGAGCTCAAAAGAAGAACAAGTCGGATTGCAGCTACGTTGAGCAGGGCTGGTTGAATCTAAAACAGCCGCTCTCAAATCCGTGATAAGCTGCCTTGTGTGCCATCCCGAGGCCCCTATTCTTTCTCTTTTCTTTTTCAGTTATAGGTATATTTCTTGGCCGTTGTTTACCTCCTGAACCTGACCAGTATCGCCATATCCTCAACTTTTTCTTAAACAAAAAATCATGGCTGGTGGTTCTGACAACCCGGGGAACCGGACCGTCGTTGTGTCGGCCCCCGGAAAGGTGCTTCTAGCCGGCGGCTACATTGTCCTCGACCGGAAACACACAGGTCTAGTCTTCGGCCTAAGTGCCCGCATCCACGTCCTCGCCCAGGAGATACACACCAGCGCCGGCGTCCATCTCAGAGAAATTGTTGTGCAGAGTCCGCAATTCCTGAATGCCACCTGGAAATATGGCTACCATCTCGCCGAAAACGGCGGTGGCATCAAGGTCACTCAGCTGCAGTCGTCAGTGTCCCCTCAACCCTTCTAGTGTCACACTCTCACTCACACATCGCAGGGGCACTCCGGTCGACCAAAACCATTTTGTAGAGACCACACTCAGCTACGTCCTCAGCTACATATCCCAAGTGGACAAGACCCGCGCCACACACGGCTTCCAGCCCGCCTCCCTTCTCGTCCTAGCCGACAATGACTACTACTCCAAGCCCAAGGAGGAGCCCACCACCACCACCGCCGCCGCCGCCGCCGCCGCCGACGGAAAAAAGTCCCGCTTCCTGCACTTCGGCACCACGCTGCGCGACGCGCACAAAACGGGGCTCGGCTCCTCCGCCGCCATCGTGACGGCCCTCACCGCCTCGCTGCTCGCGCACTACCTGCCCCCCCACCTCTTCGACCTCTCCACGCCGGCCGGCCGCCGCGCGCTGCACAACCTCGCGCAGGTCGCGCACTGCGCCGCGCAGGGGAAAGTCGGTAGCGGCTTTGACGTCGCCAGCGCCGTGTACGGGTCGAGCGTGTATCGCCGGTTTAGCCCGGCCCTGTTGGCGGCGCTGCCGGGGCCGGGGGAGGAAGGGTTTGCGAGGGCGTTGGTGGCGTTGGTGGATGGGCAGGGGTGGGATTGTGAGGTCAGGAAGGAGGGCGTGGGGTTGCCGGCCGGGGTCGCGATTAGGATGTGTGATGTGGATTGTGGGACGCAGACGGTGAGTATGGTGAAGAAGGTGCATGCGTGGAGGGATGCGGAGCCGGAGGTGGCGGCGGGGGTGTATGCCAAGTTGCAGGGGAAGGTGGATGAGTTGACGGCGGTGTTGGGGGAGGGGAGGGTGGGGGAGATTGGGCGGGTGATGAAGCCGTTTAGGGAGCTTATGCGGACGATGGGGAGGGAATGTGGCGCGCCGATTGAGCCGGATAGCCAGGAGGAGATGCTGGATGCGTTGGAGGGGGTGGAGGGCGTGTTGGGGAGTGTGGTGCCGGGGGCCGGCGGGTATGATGCGGCGGCGGTGGTGATGTGGGATGATGAGGAGACGGAGAAGCGGGTGAAGGCGTTCTTGCGGGAGTGGAGCAAGGAGCATGAGATTCAGGTGCGGCTGATGGGGGTGAAGGGAGAGACGGAGGGCGCGAGGATGGAAGACCCGAGCGAGTTCAAGCTGTGGACTCAGTAATGCAGCTGGTGAAGCGTGTGATAAATGGATAGGGGTATAAAAGGGGGTTTAACATAAAAAAAATATATTCGCGGTAAAAGGAATATAGTATGAGATACGCAACTGGACGTGAGAAGATCTTAAACACACTCTGACATTGTAGTCGCCGGTTTATTTTCTCTAATATTATCACTGATGATAGTGCTTTTCTGATTAGGTTACCAAGCCAAATGCCTGCACTCAGCAGCACAAGATCCAACCTGCTGATACAATCTTCCTTCCCTCTGTCCCAGATACTTTCATTAAATCCACCCCTTTTTTTGGTTTCCCCGTTCATACCCAACTCCCTTACACCCTCACCCTCCGCTGTAGACCAACAACCAAAGCAGAATTAGATGTCAAACTAAAACGAGCCAGCCCCCACACCCAGAGCGGCATGAACCAAGCAAGGATCCAACCCACCCTATATCCCCTCTCCCAACCTCACAACCATCACAGCCCCCTCTTCCCCCTCGAAGCCGGCGACAACGGACTAACCGGACTCTCCATCTGAAACTCAAACTCCATCCCCCAATCTACCCCACCGCCACCACCACCCCCCAACTCCCCACCATCCAACTCCAACGGCGACACCGTCATCGTTGAACCCGCCAACACCACCGGCCCCAAAGGCGGCATAACCAACTCCGGGCCCGCCACCTCATGGTGATGGTGGTGGTGGCTGTGATGCGACACCCCCGACGGGTTCCCAAACAGCAACAAATCCAAATAATCCATCGACGACGACACCCTCTCCGCACCGCCGGCACCCACACCCAACAACCCCCCTTGACCATGGTACCCCTGCACCGTGCTACTGCTCCGCAGCGACGACGACCCCGACCCGTGGCGCGAGAAGGCAGAGTTACCACCACCACCGGGGATGGGAATGGGGATGGGGATGGACAGGCGCGGCGGCGGTGTCGCTGCCGTTACTGCTGCTGCTGTTATTGTGGTGCCTGAGGGTGAGAGGGAGAGGGCGCCGCCGCTGCCGCGGGAGCGGAGGCGGTGGGGGTGGCTGTGATGATGGTGGTGGTGGTGGTGGTGGTGGGGGAGGGGGAAGATGGTGTCGCTGTAGGTGTCGGCGTGGGCGATGCCGAGGCGGGAGGCGGCGGCTTTTTCGCGGAGAACGGAGATTCTGGAGAGAGGAGGGGGGTTAGTTTGAGGGGTATTTGAGAGGGTGGTGGTGAGGTGAAGGGGAGGGCGTACTCGTCTTCGCTGATGCCGGGGATGATGGTGGCTTCTCTTTTGAAGTCGAAGGGTTCGGACTGGAGGGATTGGTTAGAATGGGAGGGTTTGGAGGAACATGAGGAAGACGTACAATCTGCAGCTGGCGCTTCCTGCGGCGGAGACCAACCATGTCTTGCAAAAAGGAATGGAGTCTCTTGACTTCAGAGTAGACGGTCATGTTCACCATTTTTGACGATGGTGTGGTGGATTAGGTTGGATTGTGAAAAGACCTGAACAAGAGACGAGAGATAGCTTTTAAGAAATATATCAAGGAAGGTATAAGCCGCTGGCACACGACACAGACGACGGAAACAGGCGATCTAGGTGAGTTTGGGGTGTCTCAAGATAGTTAACGGGACGAAGGAGTGGCGATGGCGGGAGGACGACACCGGCTGGCTAGAACGAGAGGGACAGCACCGAGGTAATGGAAACGAGAGTGGACCGGATTACGAGAAACGACGGTTAAAGAAACAAAGGAGCGGCAGAAAAGTTCGATGAGCCCATTGACCAAAGTTCCAGCTCGCCAAAGGTTCTCCTTTTGTAAGAAGGTTTGGCAGAGGTGACCCGCCAACGACGGGTCCGGACAAAGAAAAGGCTGGGGCGCATAGCCGAGGGAGGACGGGAAATGTCAAAGAGTATTACAGCCCCATGAGATCGCCAGTCCCATACCGTTGGAAGATGCTCCCTACGAGAGCGACGGTGGAGGGTGAGAAGGTTGGAATGTGAGTGGCCGGTGGAAGCGAATCCCGGCGTGGCCCAACCCGTTTCCGCCCCCCCTTAACCACAACCATGGAATGTGTCTCAACCGTCCAAGTTTTGTGTAAGACATTTCGAAAACTTCATGTGTCTCAAAACATTGAAATTGGTTGTCAACGTTATTAGTCTAAAACCTGTCGCGTGCGATTGGCGATATCCCTTGCCAGAATCCTCCCTGCGTCAACGTGCAGGCTGCCACTAGCCTAGATGCACTATTTAGGGTAGTCCTTCAAGTGATAGCTCTTCAGCTTAACAAATTGGTCAAAACCATATTTGCTCAATGTGACGCCCTTTCCGGAGTTCTTCCATCCAGTCCAGGCCAGGTCCTGCATGTCTGTCAGTGGTGTTACAACGCATACGGTAACGGCCGTTGACTCACAGGACTCGGGAAATCGCAACGATTGACAAAAACGGTTCCAGCTTCAACACCATCACACAGCTCGTAACCCTTGTCAGTATCTTTTGTCCAGATGCTGGCTGTCAGGCCGAACTCGCTGTCGTTCATCAGTTTCACAGCCTCGTCATCGCCCTTCACTTTCATAACTGGGATGACGGGGCCGAAGGTTTCGTCTTTCATGATTTTCATGTCATGAGTGACGTTTGTCAGCAGCGTCGGGACGACAAAATTCCCTCGCTCTGGGAGCTTGCTGAACGTTTCATTTGCGGGGGTGGCGTTGACGGCGCCCTTGTCCAATGCGTCCTTGACGTGCTGCTCAATGGTCTCCTGAGACCTCTTCGAGATGACCGGGCCAAGATGTGTGTCTTTGTCCAAAGGGTCGCCGAGCTTGTATCCCTTCAGAACGTCCTGGATCGCTATGACAAATTCGTCGTGGATCTTCTCAGAGACGTACACGCGCTCTATCGAGCAGCAGCTCTGGCCCGAGTTGAACACTGCGCCGTCTACAATCTCCCCGGCTGCCCATGCAATGTCAACATCTTCACGGACGTATGCCGGGTCCTTTCCTCCCAACTCTAGGCCAACGTTGACGATGCGGTCTGATGCTGCACCCTGGACAGCCAAGCCGCCAGCCACAGAACCCGTGAAGCACACCAAAGCGACTTTGGGGTTTCTCACAATCGACTCAATAATCGTAGGTGAGCCAGAGTGGAAGTATTGGAGCACGCCGCTGGGGAGGCCAGCTTCGCTAAAGGCCTTGGCGACCTGCTCGACGATAGTCGGCGTCTGCGGAGACGGCTTGAGGATGACCGAGTTCCCGCTCAGGAGCGCCGGAATCAGGGCATTGACGAGAATCAGATACGGATACTGATAGTAGTTTGTCAGCAACTGTTTCTTTGTTTCTTGTGAGCCGGCCCCCATGAACACGTACGTTCCAAGCAAAGATGATGAGGACCGGCCCCACCGGCACCTTGCGGATGAACCTCTTGAAGCCCTTCTCCGCCTCACCCGGTGTATCCTGGAGCACGTCATCGCTGATCTTGAGGAGGTACTCTGCCCTCTTCAAGGCTGTGGTAACCTCCCCACCCGTGTAAGCAATGGGCCGGCCCATCTGGACGGTGAGTTCCGTGGCCAGCTCATCCTTTTTCTTGTCGAGTATGCCCAGCGCCTTCTTGATGATGTCTCGACGCTGTTCTAGCGAAGTCTTGCGCCATGATTCAAAGGCTTGAGTGGCAATCTCGGGAAGTTGCTCTAGCTCTTGCGAGGAGATGCCATTGCGCGTTAGGATCGGCTCGTTGGTTGTCGGGGAGATGGTCGTGATCGTTTCGACAGACATGCTGTGTGGGAAAAGAGATGGGTTTGAGTTCTTTCGGTTTGAAATCTTTGGAGTTTCCTGAAAACAATCCTGTACAAGCCGAGGGTGAATACTGCTTGGGCACTTGGAGGAGAGACCAGAGGAGCGATGCCCCCCTTCCCTTTCTCACTCCCTGCATTGCCCCTCTGCCCCTCCGTTGGGATCCTTGGACCGGCAGCAGATAAGATAAGGAAAGCCGGGCGGCTTACAGCGGCAGGGGTGGGTACTTGTGGGATACTTATCACACTTGTGTAAATGTGCTTGAATCCAGGTAAAGACTTAGTTGCTTGGATAGAGAATTTAATGTAGCTCTGAATTGGCATATGGGACAATTTATAGCAGATTATTACGCTCTTTTAATGTGTGAACTAGGAATCTCCACGCGCGCTTTCCTGCAGTGCGGTTCTTCAGAGGTACCCCGGTAGAGTGCATTGACCTCGCGCTGAAGCGCCCCGGATTTTTTTTGGATGAACTCTCGAGGTGCATGAATCGATCTTCCAACAAACTGCCATTTCTTAGCCACACACCATGTCGACCGATAAACGTAACCAATTTCTTGATGCCGGGGATAGCGAAGATGATGCAGGTCACGGATACGATTCCGAAGAGGATCTCCAGAAGGGCGGGCGCAGCGCGAAGCGGAGAAGAGTCGACGATGACGACAGTGACGCCGAAGACGTTAGCGACCAAGAGGAGGAACACGGCGAGGATGGGGCCACGAACCTGAGAGAAGGCACCGCGGATTCCGAAGCTGCACGCGACGACGAGGAAATTGCAGAAGAAGGGCCAAAGGACGACAAAGCGGACCTACCAGCGGAGCTGCCCGGCGTGTCAAAACCGTTGGCAAAAAAGAATCTTGTTGCGTCAGAGGCTGCGATCAAGAAGTCCGGGGTGGTTTATCTGTCAAGGATTCCGCCATTTATGAAACCCGCAAAACTGCGCTCACTCCTTGAGCCATATGGCAAGATCAACCGGATCTTCCTCACTCCTGAAGACCCGACCGAGCACACCAGGCGCGTACGCAACGGGGGCAACAAGAAGCGGTCATTCACCGAGGGCTGGGTCGAGTTTGTGAAAAAGAAGGACGCGAAGAAGGTGTGCGATTTGTTGAACGCCCAGACTATCGGGGGGAAGAAGTCAAGCTGGTACCACGATGACGTGTGGGCCCTAAAGTACCTCAACGGCTTCAAGTGGTAAGCTCAATCAGCCTCCCCTAGATGGCATGATTATTCTAACGACAGTAGGCACCATCTAACCGAGCAAATATCGGCTGAAAATGCCGAACGGACGAGCAGAATACGCGCCGAAAGTCGCCAAGACCACTCGCGAGAACAAGGAATTCGTTCGCAACGTCGAGAGGGCAAAGGTCATCAATGGGATCCAATCCAAGGCAGCCGCCAAACGAAAGAAGACCGATGATAGTGAGGAGGCAGCGGGCAGCGGAGAGGCGGTCGGGAAAACGGAGGGCGAGTCGGCGCAGGATAAGAGGCGAACGTTCAAACAGATACTCCTCGCAAAGAAAAGGAAACATGAGGAACAACCGGCGCATGTCCTGAGAGTTCTCAGCAAGATCTTTTGATGTCTTGTGCTGCACGAGACAAGGAAAGGGGTTGTTCATACTTTTTTTAAGTTGTGTTGCTACTATTCAGACTTGGGCGTATACCCGTTTATTAACGACGAGATACAGACATGTTCAGCTTTGTTCCTCTCTGATACCAATGACAACTTTGTATATTTAATCAAACCCCCATGTAAGTACAAGTGGGCCCCCAGAACCTCTCCCCTTCCGGCAATCTCGTCGTTTCAAGTGCCCCCAGTGTTGTTAATGCGACCTGCTGTACGCCCATAATGTCCAACGTGAAAGCCAAGATGCCAGCTGCGCCCGGGGGTGAAGTGACGGCCGCGGCTCTTCGGCAGGCCATCCAAGCCCTGGGCCTCTCACGCGACGAGCTCGCCGAGCTCCAGGGCTACACCAAAAGGCTGCTAGACGAAGAGAGGCGAGGCCTGAGACACGGCCGAATCGAAGCCACCATCATCGCCAAATACCGCTCCGAATTCCCCGCCTGGCGGACCAACCCCCCAGACCAGACGCAAGCCGCCCTCCGAAAAATGCGTCCCAGCCCTCCGCGCGGGACGATCTCTCCTCCCACCCCAAACACCACCGCCTCTAGCCCGGCAGGACGCCCTACCGCGGCCTAAAACACCCACCACCACCACCACCACCACCCAGCCAGCAGCAGCAGCACCCTCACCCTCACCCTCACCCCCCTCACCACCACCACCCACCCTCCCCACGCACGACGCGCAAACCCAAACCGACGACCTCAACGACAGCGCCGAGTGGTTCGCGGGCCGCTTCATCCGGCACTACGACGCGGTGCAGCACCACGAGGTGCTCGAGGTGCAGGAGGTGTCGACGGGCAAGCGCAGCTTTGTGCTGGTGGAGGACAACAGCCACCCGCCGGGCATGCAGGCGCGCATCGAGATTGTGGATACGGACAGTGGTGGTGGTTGTCGGCTTCGTCGCTGGGGGGGGAGGTCGCTGCCGGTGAGGGCGCAGATTGAGAGGGGGCCGGAGGAGGGGAGGGTGCAGGGTCGGGGCGGTGGCGCGTGGTGAGGTGAAGGGGGATATGCCTTGGGGGGTTCATGAGTCTCGGTTGTCTAGTCGCTCGATCGTCCCTGTTGACCTACCTATCTAAGGCAGGTGTTTCGCCCTCAATCATATCATTTGCTGACAACACCTACTCCCGGTCCCTGAGAGT